GGTGAGTCAGACAAATAAGTAGTATATAGGGAGTCAAACAAATAATGTTTTGTATAAATAAGCCTCTTTTGCCATTTTAAGCCCTCCCAGCGACCTAACAACCGAGCCTGTGAGGTTGCTAGGGTGGTGGGGGGCTTAAAATGGCAAAAAGAGGCTTATTTATACAAAACGTTATTTGTTTGACTCCCTATATACTACTAGCATACCTATAAATCTTATAAAGGAAAAAAAAACTCTGACAGGAACAATGCCTGATTTTAAAAGCTATGCAATTCCTCTGGATATGGAAAGTATCCAAAAGCATGCACTATATTTATAGTAACAATATTATATAAGTTATGAACACGGCTGAGTGTCGGTTTTACTTGCAAATCTCTACCAGCTGCCAATAAACGGTGCTCTGTAGGAAAAATTAAATTTCAAAAGAGAGACAACAAGCAATAAAAAATGAGTGAGTCTAGTTATAAAATACTTTAAAATAAAAAGATCATTCAAAGAGGAGAGTTAAGATGAATATAAAAAGAAATTAAAAGAAATGTATGTTAAATGCCTTGTTAAAAAGATACGTTTTCAAATGTTATTTAAAAATGTCAGTAAAATTTAAAATAGCCCTTATGATATACGGAATACTGTTTCAGTTAATTCCAGCAAGGTTACAGAAAGGGCTCTTTCTCCGAATGTTTTCTGTCGAGCTTTTAGAGCTGTCAGAAGTTGCCAAAGTGATCTTAACATTAATGCTGCAGGGCGAAGCACAAGTGAGAGCGTTGTCAATGATTATCAAAAATTATCTGTTAAAAAGACTAATTTACCTTCATGGGAATCCCTCTGCCATTGTTAATACGTTCCAATCTAGAAGGGAAATTATCAATCAAAGACTCCAAGTCTTCCAGTGTTGTAGGAAGTTTGTCTGGCATGTCTGTGGCATAATATTGGATGGTAATATCTGACACGTCATTACACTCTGATGACAGTTTGTCTAACGAAGCTTTCAGTTCAGCATTGGCAACTAAGGGGTTCAGCGGTCCATCAAAACCTCCATGAATATCTACTCTACAAAGGCATAAAAAAAATCAATGTTGAAACTGCTATATACTTATTAACTTATCACGAGTAAACATGCATGAAGATATCAACTTCATTACCAGCTTGTTTACATTATAGTCTTTAGAATTCATGAGAAGTTTCACAACGTCTTAAATAATGTTGATTTTCATTGAATGTTAGGTACTTTTTTAATGATTTCTTTAAAGAATGTCTGCTTCTGTAAAGAGTAAGTACTAGAGTGAAACAAGAGATGGGTTCTACTAGATTTAATGGACAGAACTAGCATAATCTACTTTCCCTAGGGAGATGATCTGTCTGACATCTACCTACTTCAATCATTAGTTTGTGATTACTTAATTACATGAACTTAATTAGATGTCGTCTCTCAGGAAAATTTCTTAAATGGGTTAAATAATCAGATGAAGAATGTTCATTCTTGAGAACTTTAAGGAAGTCTAACTATTCTGAGTGCTGCATGCTGTGTCGCTAGTAAGATGTATACTTCTTTTTCATATCAGTTTCAATTTGCCTTACGCATCATTGTCCACAGTTTCGAGATCTAGATCAGATGAATGGCATTTTTCTAAAATGCTCATAAAGTTGGAATAAAACACGGAATAGAATGCAAATTCTTCGACATCAAAAAAGATTGTTTGACGGTAGAGTCATTGTCTTTGCTGTTTAGATAAACAAAATATTTCACATTTTTTGGTTAATTAAGGTAAGTAGTGGGTATCGTCCAAGCTCAACCCTGCAAGCTACGTTAGAGGCTTTATTGTTTACCTCTAAGTAGCGTTTGCAAAACTTTAAATGTATTTTTTTTCTCTTGAGGAACTATTCCACCTTTTGAAATCCTGCACAGAATACATGCCCAATACCTCACACTGTTGTAGCTTGAAATAAGTGTACTCCTGAACAATTTCAATAGGATCGGTGTCGGTGTCCAGTATGAAGATAGCATATTTAGACAGTTTTGTAATCCTGTTTTGGATCTTGCCAAAATTATCAAATCATCAGCGTACAAAAGTGAATTTATTTTTGTTCTATTTGGTAGGACAAATGCATCAGACAGAGTGTCTTGAAATGAATACGGCAGATTGTTTATATAGAGATTATATAACACGAGGCTTAGAATACACCCTTATCCTTACCCTCTCCAATTCTTATGGAACATGTAGTAGTAGCAGCAGTAGCAGTAGTAGAAGTAGTAGTAGCAGCAGCAGTGGTAGTGAAGTAGTAGTAGTAGTGTAGTAGTAGTAGTAGTAGTAGTAGTAGTAGTAGTAGTGTAGTAGTAGTAGTAGT